GTGTGTGTGTGTGTGTGTGTGTGTGTGTGTGTGAGGAGTCTGTGGAATGCAGTCCTGATTGACTACAGCACAGCAAAGCCATGTTTTATTCATTAAAGCTGCTCATTGCTCACACCCGAGGTGTTTATGTAGTTTATTTTGAGCAGGTTCTTTAAAAAAAAAAAAAAAGATTAAATTGCTTGGTGACTTTAGCATCACTTAAGCCAAAATCCTGTTTGGTTATGCTGAAGAAGGTAAGTTGATTTGCCAAGGACAAAACACGAGCAGGGCTTTATAGTTTGGTCTAAAAAGGAAAATAAAACAACAGTATAATCTAAAAAAAAAAACATTTGGTGAATTCAAAGTTTATCAAAGTGATCTATTATGAATGGTAGTCATCTGTTGTGGGGTTTCATTCAATTTAATTAGGAATTTTCAAATACTATTCGTCCAAAAAAAAAAGACTCAAGGTTTAGCAGAATGGAAAAAAATGACTCAGGATGGCTGGCTCAAAATGGTTATATAACACAATCAAATCCATCCATCCATTTTTCTGGGACACTTGTCCTCATTAAGAGGCACATGACCACCTATGGACAGTTGAGAGTCTTGAGTGAACCAAACGTATGTTTTTTTGGATTGTGGGAGTAACCCCACATAAGCACTGGGAGGACAAGCAAACTCCGCACAGGTTTAAGATTCGAACCTGGGATCTCTCAATTGTGAATCACATTGAATTAAAATGCACAATCGGGTTAAACTTTAGTTTCGGGACAAGAATACAATGCGAGTAATATCACAAGGATAAAATGACACAAGAATATACACACGTGATAAATTACGATACCATTTTAATTTTACGCCCAAATTGATGAAATCCTCAAAGCGTGCACAGATTAGGGGACATGGAAGAGAAATACCGTTTATAGGTACTATGATCATGATTACGTATGTTGGCAGGCGGCAGAAGAAGCCATGTTGAACTTTCGGATTACTTTGTAGGTATTTATACGGTTGAATTCATTCAAATGCAATTTTCATCCTTGTTTTGGAAAATAAATACAAATTCTTAAGCACAGTCAAATTCAGTGTCCCCCCCACTTATTTAGGAAAATTCACCTATTTGCTGTTTATGTGCTCAGGTCATATTAAAAAAATTATTTGGCACCATCTCGTAGCATGTTGACGCTATGCAACTTATTAAAGTGTGGGAGGAGCTTAATTTAGTCAGGGAATTGCTGTCTTGTGGCATGTATAAGCAATTCACATTTTTAAGTCAATTACATGCAGACTTTTGTAGCAGGAATTGGTCTTCGACCACCCCCGCGCACACATGGTTTCATTCGACTAGATTTTAGTTGACCGCTAAACTGTCCAACTTTGGGGGCATTTTATTTGAGACGCTCCACCGTTTGAGGCAAATGAGTAGAACGTAGAACATCTTTATTTTTGCATTTTTAGTGCGGCCAATCTGCCGCGTCGACCTTTGACTCGAAACTCCAAAGTCAAGTTGAGCTCATCAAAAGTGGAACATGAAAGTATTTAACAACATCTCATGACAGCCTTTATCAGATGGCCGCCGAGATATTTTGGAGGGAGCAGCAGAGAGGCGGACCAGCTGGCAAACAAAGTCGTGTCTGCCCAGCAGCAACATCATGAGTGGACTTTTATAGCACGCCATCACAATCTGCCCCTCTTCTTGCCAACGTGGAGTGTATTTAGAACAAAAAAAAAAGGATTTTTATATTCTGTTCATGAAGGGGGGTGGATGGGGGGGTGCGGACGAGAACGTTAGAAGTGCAAAAGAGTGGTGATGTCAACATAAAGGCTGCCTGGAGTGTCATAAAGAGGACACGAGTGAAGTGATACCGAGATACAGAGCATCAGGAAGGCTTTGATGCTTTTATTACAGGGAGGATGCCTCGTGGGTGCCGTGACTGTAGTCAACATCAACTGGTCAAGTGTTTCAGGTCAATGTGACATTTTTTTTTTTTTTATAGATTTTAACAGCTTTGGGGGCGGGGGGGATAGGGCGGGGCAATCGAGATGAACTGCTATCTCTAGGCTTAACATGAAATGAATTAATCCCTCCCGACGCTTCTATATAATGTATATGCATGAGACCACAATGATCAGCGTCGTATACATTCCCATATGTGCTTGCAGGATTTAGTCCATCCCCGCAAAGCCTTTCCCGCGTGAAACGAAGAGGCAACAATGAAAGCCCTTTATCTCATGGAAAAAAAAAAAAATGTATCCCGGGACGATACATGCTAATGGAGCAAATACATTTCGAAACATTTATTTGAACGGAGTCGTGTTTGCTGGGCAACTGTCTCGCACTGTTGCATCAGGGCAGAGATGAAATGAAGATTTGTGTGGATGATAAGAAGCGTAAAAGATTTGACGGTGAGACACCATTTACATCGAAAATGTCATTCACAACAAGTTGAACTGGAGCCATGTTTCGCAACCTTTATTGAGCCGAGGCATGTATTTTACATCCGCTGTTGCATCAGTGCAGAGATGAAATGAAGATGATTTGTGTGTAAAAATTGGTTTATCTTGGGGATGACAAGAAGCGTAAAAGATTTGACCGCGATTCATTGGGAGACACCATTTACATCGAAAATGTCATTCACGACTAGTTGAACTGGAGCCGTGTTTCCCAACCTTTATTGAGCCGAGGCATGTATTTTACATCCGAAAAATCTCACAGCATACCAACAAACGGACACAAAAGTGGAAACATTGAACTAATGATCTACTCATCTCAATTTGCTTACGCATGTGGTTACGTTGTGTGAAATCTGGGCTTGTTTCGTTGAACATCATGCCATTATTCTGTTGGATCAGAAGCAGGTTAACTCATTCACTCCCAACGACGTTTTTAAGCGTCTTTTCACACATAGTCCAGAATTAGCTGGTACTGAATGATTTAATTGTACCGTCTGCCACCTAGTAGAAGATTCCTTTTTTATTTATTTATCTATTTATTTTTTGGGGCAGCTTGCAGCACATAACCAATATTTCAACCAATTAAATCAAATTGGATAATTTCCTGCAGGTCTGATAATCTCTCACGCCACACTAATACAGTGAAATGCATCAGTGTTGGGTGAGAGATCACAAAGGTGAGCTCACCCATCACGCAATTTGGTCAATAAATATTGAATTTCCGACAAATAATGTATCTTTGTTCATCTCTCTCTGCCAGGGTGACAAGCAGAACAAACAAATGCTGTTTCAAAATAGATGATGATTCAGCTTTGTGTCCACTATATTTTTACGGTGTGCCGTGAGATGTAAAATATGTTTCATGGGCTCAACAGAGGTTGGGAGACACTGAATGAGGCTACATTGCGAGAGAGCGATTTGGGAATCGCTAATCGAGTCAGCATCAAAATTCTGAACGTTTTTCTCGTCTTGACTGAGAAATGGATCAAAAAGCTGACTTTTCAAAGTAGACGAACTTGCCGAGTATATCAAGACAGTTGTCGACTGTCAAAACAAATCAAGAAGATGACGCCCCCCCCCGTCTGTGGACTCAAACAGCAAACAACAAAGTGTGAACATCAAAAATTCACAAAAATATTTTCGAGCATGTGAACGTGCAACAACACCCATCACAGCAATAATTTGGCGAGGTGTTCATCCATTTTGCACAGGAAGGACAAACTCAAGGGTTTGGATGATTTGTCAGAACTCACTTCAACCAACCGATCAACGTGCGACGAATACCAACTCCAAAAACACATTTTCAGTGACAGCTTGAATTTATTGAATCGGGGTTTACAAGTTGTTGGGGGAAAAAAAGCATCTTTGTACAAAATGAAGTGACATCTTATTGACTTGTGTTTTCCCAGCTATCACTAAGACGCGGTTTACATCCTGTTGGGACCACCGAGGAACGCCTGGCAAAAAAAATAAAAAGATCCCTCCTAAAACCGTTTCCTCAACCTACGTGGGCCGCCACCAGAGGTGATACAGCAAAGCAAACAAGGTAAGGAGGGGCTATAATTTGTTTTTTTTTTTTTTAATTTGAATTCATCAGAACAGAGGGACCAGGAATTAGGGAAATGTTGCCTCCGTTGAATAGAAACATCAGATTTAAGAAAAAGATGTGTGTCTTACTTCAGGACAAAAAGCACCCAAAAATATTACAGAGGAGAGGAAAAGAAGTTGTTGTCTACAGCTTGTATGTGGAATTTTTTATTCATCAGAGAGGGACTGGGAATTATGGAAGCGTTTCATCCGGGGGATCAAACCAACAGATTTGGGTAAATGATAGCATCTTGCTTCCGAACAGCACCAAAATTGTCGTTTTTCTAAATGTTTCAACTTAAGTTCACATTAAAGAATAATTGAAAAGACACCCGTTTCAGAAAAAGTCGCTACCATTCTAAAAATACCCGCTGACCAAAATCAACCCTTCCGTCACCT